CATACCTATTGAAAACTGCAGAAAACCACAAAAAGGAAGAGCTGTGCCAAATACACCCATCTCAGAGCCCCCAGGTTGCCATGCCCAGCTGTGGCTGCTCCTACTGCCATGGGGATGAGGAGCAGGGGTGCATGGTCTTGCAGAGGAGCTGTGGGATGAGCCAGTCCTGGTCATGGAGGTGGCATGGCAGCAGTGGTGGCACCTGGGGATGGGAAGGGAGCTGCAAGGATTCTGGGTGGTGTCTTTTTGTAATCACTAGCATAGATTTTCCTATAGGTTCCTCAGGTTTTAGGGAGCTGCCCAGTTGGTGGATTCCCTGCCAAGAAAAGTCTCTCAGCAAATTGCTGCCACAACAGAGATTGGGCTCAGCACCCAGCTCTGTCAGGGTTCCTGGGGAGATGCCATCTCACCACAGAGGTACGTAACCATGTCCTTTGCTGTTCTAAGACCACAGGAGATGTAAGCCCACTCTTCTCTCAGTCCACACTCTGCATCAATTTCCCACAATGCTGGAGAATTTAATGCAATATATATATATTTATAGATACTTATTTCATGCCCCTTTTTCTCTATTGCTGGTTGGCACTGTGCTTGCACACAGGAGGGTACTCACAGGAAGCATTTGAAATGCTGATAGTAATGTCTGTGTTTAGTTTAAAATGATGGAAGGGCAGTTCTTGAAAGTGTGTGTGAAGACAGAGTGATTATTAGTACATGTTTATTGAAGTTTACCAGCTGTGTAACAATGGGGTTTTCTTTGCCATTGGACTTCATTCCTCTGTAATTACGTTCCTAATATAGAAATAATTTGACATTTATTTGCCATAATAAAACTTCCCATTGCATTTAAATTTAATGTGAAGATTTAAGTGTATTTAGTAGACTCAGTTGAAGACCTGAAATTAAATATTCCCGGTTTCCTCTTCCAAACGAGACAAACTCAGATATATCCTAGCATTCAGATCCATGCATACAGCTACTCCCATGAACAGTGGCAGCTGCATGAGCATATCCAGACAGAGATGGTAGCCCTTGTGATGTGGCAGCTCTTTCAGCATCTTCTCACTGCCTTGCTCTGGTCCAGGGCACTGTGTTATGCTGATGACTGATGCTCCTTTGTACATCTGACCAGGGAAAACACACAGTTGAGGAAAAACTGCAGGTGCTAAACTCACCATCAGCCAGCCCAGTTGCCTGTACAGCTTGCACTGGTTTTCAGATTTTTTGCTTTAACAGTTGTGGTAGCAAGATGTTGCTCTTTCCAGCTGAGCTGGTGCTCAGGAGCAGCCCAGACAGCAGATGTAGGTCAGCAAGCTGGAACTGGGACACGCCAGAAGATGACATCCTGTCCCAATGACACCATCGTCCCCATGTTCAAAAGAGACCGGGTGGGCAAATTTCCTGTACTTCATTTATAGTTAAAAGAATGGGCCTGGGAAACACATCCCATGAGTGCCTGCTGGTTTAGTGAGCTGCTGCAGCTTCGGTAGCAATGCGTGGATGGGCTTCCAGCACTGACACACAAAACATCCAGGTGAAACACTGACATCAGCACTCAACAAGGGTGTTGCTGCTCCTGACATCATTTTCTCCCTGGATGTACCAAGCATCAGAAGCACACACACTGGCAATATTTTTTTTTCCATCCTTTCTCAGAACTCCTCCCAGTAGCTTAAAATAGCAGGGCCCAGATAATTGTTAACCACTTTGACACATTGCAATGGGCACAGATTGGGAATTCATAAGGAGAGGACAGAGCTGGAACAGACTCACACTCCCCATTCATCTCCAGCAGTATCATCCATCTGAGGGTAAAGCCAGTTCATCCTGGCCTTGCCCTTGCTGCTCCTAGAGACCAGCTCCCACCACAGACAGAAAGAGGGAATAATATTCTATATAATTGCTTAATACATTACTTTTCTCAGAAGTAGAGTAATATATAGGAAAGAGTATTTCATCCATATGTTGAGACGGTTATGGCCAAAGCCAGAGCACCCTTCCCTTTTGTTAACTCTGGGTTTTCACCTTTGAAATGAACCTCAAGTTAGACTTGGATAGTAACAAAAAAAAAAAAAAGGCAGGTGCCCTGATTCCAAAGCACACTTGGTTGTTTCAGGGGAACAAGATGGTACTGAGCAAGCTGAGGATGAAGCTTGCAGCTGGGGGACATTTCTCTGACAAAGCAGAAATGCTGATCCAAGTAATGGGATGTAACTCTAAAGGGAAAACTGCCAAAATAAGTGTTGGGAAGAAGAGCCTTCAAAGGGTCTTTGGAGAGCAGTCCCCAAAGGGAATTGGTGGGAACACTGTTGTTTGAAGCACTAGAGAATATGTTGTGCAGAGCCGTTTTCTGCAAGCCTACAGAAATCGCCATGGGGATTTAATTTCCATCTCTAATTGCTGCGATCTGCACCTCATTTGGGGCTTACTTTTGTGTGCTTGTAGCTTTTAGCAGAGGTCTCTGCGCAACAAATCCTTTATGAGTACCACAGCCAATGGACTGTTCCTGAGGTCACTGTACAGCCAGCAAGGAGGCTCATTCTCCTTTACTGTACAAGGGATTTATTCCCTTAATATGCTGCTGGTGTTTATTTTTCTGCTGGTATAGGAGCACGTGCTTGTATGTGTGCATGTGGCAGTGTTTTACGAATGCTTGCTGTGGACAGAATTGGGCTTCACAGTATGCAAAAATAGGTATATGCCACACTGAAGGATAAAATATTTCACATGGCTGGAGAAAATGTGGTAAATCAGGGTTTTGCTGGATTTGTGAAAAATCAAGAAACTGTGGGATTTGTCTCCACAGTTGAGTCCTGAGCTCTTGAAGGAGCTGGCAGGTCTGCCTAGATTGAAAGGGGACTGGGTCCCCTCAGCAGTGTAGGGTGTCTGTGGACATCTCTTGGCTCTGAAGAGACAGCCTTAGATTTCACAGACTCATTTATTACACAGCCCAAGAAGCCAATGTGAGTCCAGGCTGCAGCTACAGCTTTCCTCCTCTGGCTTTGCCTCGAGGTTGTTCCTCCTAGTTCCTGCTCCATTCTGCCCCATTCCTGATCCCTCATCACCAGTGCCTCCAGCTCCTCATTAGACAAAACCCTGTCTCTTACCATTTTGAGGGAAGAGAAAGGCAGGGACGCTTCACATTTCACCTCACACTGGGAGCTGGAGTTCCAAGTGTCAATGCTCCTTCCCACATGCACCCTCCTCCCCTCTCATCCTTCCCTGCTTCCCTTCTTTTGGCTTGTCCTGTCACACCTTTCCAGGTGAAAAAAGTTCATGGGTTCTACAACCCTCCTTGCTCCCTCTCTCCCTTTTCATCCCCTCTAGTGTGTAGTGAAAAGTAGTGACAGGTAGAGCTGATCTGGGTTCTGTAATGTAAACAGTTATTTACAGTTTTGCTAAAATTTCACGGAAGGTGGCATTTTTAGGTCACCTAGCTGAAGCAAATGAGCTGATTAAACTGTTTGCATTAGGTTTCATAAAAAAAAGTAGCATTCTTGCCCAGTGTGGTTCTCATTTCCTCAGGTTCTCAAACCTGATGTGGTACTCTGAAAGCTAAGGCAGTTTCCCACCAAGGTTAGCAAGAGCAGGATCTGGTTTCCTAAGTTAAGGCAGTTGGATGAACAACTCACTGTGTCCAGCAGCCTCAGACACCGGGGTCTGTTATCCTGGAGCTCCATCAGTGGTAATGATGGGGCTGATCTAGGGGTGTGAGAGGAAATATCCTCTTCCTAACACTGAAAGTATGATGCCAGCCTTCCCATCCCATACATTTTCCTGTTCTACCTTTTAAGGTTTTTAAATCATGGAGTGCACTACTGGAATCTATACTGTGGGCTTTAAATACTAAGAGGTGGGGAGAAAAATGTAGTGGCTCTGTTCTTCCCTAAATAAGTGATGGCAAATGGCTGTAAAATGAGCTCCTGAGCTTGTGTGTGCAGAGAGGAATTTAGTCCCATGGTGAATAGGATGATAGCAGATGGATCATAATAATACTGTTTTTTTTTGTGGATATCCTGTTTAAAGCTGCACCAGAAACAAGGGAGCGAGTCAGGAGGTTCAGTGTTATGGCCACCAGTCATAAATATATGTGTCTCACAAGCCAGGACTCAGTTTGTTCTTCATCCCATTTGTTTGTAGGGTGGAAATAGGCAGCCCTATTGGCTATGCATCACTATGACTCACCTTCGGGACAGACTGTCTGGGGGAAGTAGGGGATGTGTGAAATTTGAGGACCTTTTTCCCTGCTGGGCTATGGGTACACAAAGACCTGAACCCAAAGCACAAACCTGCCACTCACAGTCAGGTTCATCCCTCTCAGTCCAGGAACATTAGAAAGGAGACTCCTGTGTTTCACACTGCAAATGCCCACTGACTGGCAAGTGCTGGGAGGTAGCACATAGCGCTGGGCTCAGTCCAGCTCCTGGGGTGGAGTGGCATCTCCATGGCTGGCACGAGCTAACCTGCGCAGAGAGTCCAAGAGCCACTGTGTCTGTGCTTGGCTGGGCTCAAGGAAGCTGCCCTGGGCTGAGCAGGACGGCAGTCTGCAGCAGAGGCTGTCCCACAGCTATCCCCACACCAACCATGCTTTCTGAAATAGGGAGCAGAGAGACAAACCTGAGCAATGAAACAGTGGCATCTGGTATCCAACAGAGCTGTGTCCACTGGTTGTGGTCTAGTGTGGGTCCTTTGGTGTCTAGTTGTGCTTACCTAGTTTTTCCTTCATCAGTGATGCTAGGCATCTTTTATCTACACAGCTGTCTCTTTCCACCAAAAAAAAAAAGTAGGACCCAAGTATTTGGAACTGTTACATCCCTGTCAAACTTTATTCACATCAGACAAGAAGTATTTGAGGGAAAGCAGGTGGAGGCAGCACAATTAAAGCCAAACCAGGTAAAAATGAACAAAAAGCAAATGGGAGGATGGAGGTTCTGCTATGCCAAGCCATGCCATGCCTGTGGGAGGAGGGGTGCCTCGCTGATGCTGTCTGTTTTTTCCAGGGGGAGTTGCTGAGCCCATGTCGATGTGATGGATCGGTGAAGTGCACGCATCAGCCATGTCTGATCAAATGGATTAGTGAGAGAGGCTGCTGGAGCTGTGAGCTGTGTTACTACAAGTATCACGTCATTGCCATAAGCACAAAGAACCCTCTGCAGGTAAAGGTACTAGAGACATTTCAAAGTCTATTTATTCTTGTTTCTGTTTTTGTTTCTGGGAGCAACTGGATTTTACCTGTGTGGGTCTTCCTTCCCTGCACAGAGTGATCCATATGTCTGAGACACTTAGAAAAGGTTGTCAGGGGCTGGTCCAAAGCAGCCCCATGTTCTGCTCAGTGGTACTGGGGGCATCCCTCGGGAGTCTGCTTCTGCTCCTTCTGTCGTTTGACAATTCCCACGTTCACTTGCCTCCTGTTGAAACTGCCAGTGTGATCACGATAGTGCTGTTACACCTCACAGCCCTTCAAATGTGCTCATCCCCTGGAGACCACAGGTATGCCGCTGTCTCCAGGGGTGGGTGGGGACGGAGCTCTTACGGGATTTGCTACAACAGAGCACGCAGTCTGTGACAGAGCAGTATCTTGAGACTCCACTTGCCTGTACTTGTGCCACTAACACTGATCTGCTGAGCCTCCTCTGTGTTGGCACGAGGGATGGAGAAGGCGAGTGGAGGGCTCTTACAGCTCTCCTCTGTGATCCTGCCACCCTTTTCACTTTACTGCTACCCCATGATCAAATACATCCTGGCATGGCACAAGGGGTGTGTGATGCTCTGGCCTCTCCAAGCCTGATTCTCAGTGGATGCTTGCAGATGTGCACACATCTTAATATGGGTGGCTGTGAAGGGTATCAGAGGACCCACCTGCTTTCCCTTCCAAGTTCAAAAGACTTGTGTTTTAACAATCCCCGCTGCAGGCTGGTAATTTCAAATCAAGATTCAGAATGGGGAAACCTGTGTGACTGTTAAAAATGAGATCAATTATCCTTAATAGCTATTGATTTATTGTGGGGGCTACACCTGAAGATGGATTAATTGCTGCATGGCTTTGGTGAGCACCATTAGTGCCTTGGATGTAAGGAAGCATATTACATCTAGGTAGTACTGCTTAATTAGCATCATCTGGACTGGAGAGATATTACAGCAGCATGCTGTGCTTAGAGATGGGGGTAATGTCAGTAATAATCTGTCCAGAACCTGGTGGAGCTTTTTGACTCTCTGCTGATCGCCCTGCTCTCTAACAGAAGGCAGGGACTTTGCCCCAGTTGTAGAGGAGTAGGATGGAATGCAAACTCTGCTCTCTTTTCCAAACTGCAGTCTGTCTTTTTCCAGGCCTGAGGTCACTAGCTGCAGTGAGGAAACAGGAGCCCTTTAGGACTTCAGATTTAAATGAAGTAGTGAAATTAGTGTGATATCATGGGGAACTTTTGCTGGGATGAAGGAAAAAGACTGCCTGCTCTCTGTGAGTCCCTGCAGCTTCTGATTTGATTTTCCATGTGCCCTGGGACCGAAAAATCAGTAGTTTCATCCCAAGGCCCACACCCAGGGTGTTTTAATTTCTCGGCTTTAGTAACTCAGAGCAGATTGAAACACAGGAGGAGAGATGGACAAAGCATTTGTTTATTTCTGGAAAGATGGTTTATGAGTGCCCTAATGCTTCCTGTGTCTTAGATTGGGGTGCAATGCCGAGCAGCATTGAAGGTTTGTGGGTACAGATTTGTAAGCATGTGTGTAGCCAGTCACTGAATGACCTTCAAATGCTCTACACCTTCAGATGGCTCAGGGCAACGGGTCAGTGACTTTCCTCCTGTTCCTCATTCAGTTAACATTTGTTGGAGCTTTCACAGACAAGCTCCCCTCCTATACACACATTTCAAAAGCCTGAGCAAAGCATTGGTCTTTCTGGACTCCCCTGTTAGAAAGGGGCCTGATCTGATGGCCTTTGCCACGAATACAAGGAATAAGTGGCAGGAGCAACAGAGAGAGAGCTGAGCTCCAGACGCGAGGGTCCCAGAGGACCGTCTCGGAAGCTTCATGCTGCTGACTCAAGACTTCACAGCATGTCTTGCAGAAGCAGTGAGAGGTTTGGGGGGTGGGAAGAAGCAACTGTAGTGAAAAGCCATGCGATCTGGAACAAATGCAGCATGTGTGGAGTTTCAGCTGTGTGCCCGGGCGCCCTGTCTGGTGCCAGCACAAAGGCACTTCTGGGAAGCAGATGCTACACTAGCAATAGTATGTGAAATCCTGTGGGAAGTGGCTGATATACCAGGTCTCAACTTCCCACGAGGACTAAGGGCTTGGGCCCCCCGTAACCCACTACCACATATGTCTTGTTCCCCCATGGCTCTCACCATAGTCTGACACTGGGAAAGGGAGGCAGAGAGCACCCAGGTGGCTGCAATGCCCTGACATGATGTGCCATAACAATATGTCACAGCATGTGCAGGTGGGAAGAGCATCTTTTCTGCTCAGTCTTCACCCCACATGTGGATAACAGGGGCCACCTGGACATACAAGCGTGTCCCTAAGTAAAACAATAGTCCCTGACCTTCCTTCTCAGGGTCTGATGGAACTTCTGCCCAGCTTTATTCTTACTAGAGAGTTCCAAATTTCTCAAACACAGGTTTTAGAGGGCAAATCCTGTAGAAATTCACTGTTTTCTTTTAATTCCAGCCCAGCCATCATGCAGGCAAAGACCACACAAACCTCACCTCCTTGTCAACCTAAATCTGTTTGGATGATGCTCTGAGCATGGCTAGATTTTAACCAGCAACGTGGCCTACCTATCCCCTGCATCCCCTCCTGTGACAGACTGCTGGAAAGCCAAACCCAGGCAGCTGGGAGGCCCTGGGCTCCCTGAGGCATGTCCAATTGGTCCAAGCACACCCAACACCCACATATTCCCCGGGACCTGCATGTTCCTCTGCCCATGTTCATATCTGCTGCCCCATTTTTGGAATTCCTAGAAGCACAGCATGGGCCAGATGTGTGTGGAGACTCATGGCACGGGCAGAGAAGTTGCAGCGGGGGGAACATGGTTCATGCATAATTAACACAGACTCCCTCCAGCCTCCAGGCTGTTATGATGTTTCGTACCAGAGAGAGGCCTTTAGTCTGGTATTTTGGCAGAATGAATCTCTATAAATTAAAGCCTCCCATCCCATCCATGTATTGCAGGCATTTAATAGCAAAGGTCTTAAAGCAGCAATGGGTGCAGTAAAAGACTTCTTGGCCCTCCTTCCTCCCTGCTGCCTTTCCAGTATCTGAATAAGCCGCAGCATCTGTAAGTGTACAGCAGGGAAGCTATCATAGTGGTAGCATAACTTTGCTTGATGAATTCATAAAAAGAAAAGCCATCCTCCAGAAGATAATTGAGGAACATGGCCAGGGCCTCATGACAGCAGTGAGTGGAGAGCCAGACCTAAGCAGTTCTGGGAATGGTCCACTTCAACCTTCTAGGAAAAACTTCTGCCTGCTTGTGATCCTGGGTCTGAAGATTAAATTGCTGACTAGCACGGCTCAGGATGTAAATGATACGTACTAAGGGGACGTGTCAGATACAGCAATAAAAATAAACTGAACTGCCTGAGGCGGGCAGGGGGGAGCTCTCAGAGGAGTGCAGGGAGGCTTTTCCAGCAAGCAAGTTTTCTTTGCAAGCTGCTGCAGTGAGACACAGATATCTTCTGCAGGCAAATATCTGCCTCGGATCTGCTCATGCTGGTGCTTAGGAACCTTTGGAGACTGCTGGTGCCAAAGAAAGGGAAATATGTATCAGGACTTAAATACTATAGTAATGACATTATTAATCTGTGTTACATTAGCAGTGGGAGTCTTCCCTTACAAGCCTCTGAGCAGAAGCTCTAAAGCAAACAGGGAAACAGGTTTGTTCCTGTCCTGGTTTCAGCTGGAATAAAGTTATTTTTGATTCTTACTATCTGGTGCAGTGCTGTGTTTTGGCTTTAGTCTGAGAGCAATGCTGATAACACACCGATGTTTTAGCTATTGCTCAGTAGCATTTACCTGGCTCAAGGACTTTTCAATCTCATGTTTTGCAAGTGAGGAGGGGCACAAGAAGCTGGGAGGGAGCAAGAGACAAGGCATGTGACCCAAACTGGCCAAAGGGATATGGGTATTCCATACCACAGGGCATCATGCTCAGTATATAAACTGGGGGGAGTTGGCCAGAAGGGACTGATTGCTTCTTGGGTCAGGCTGGGTACTACTCAGCGAGTAGTGAGCAACTGTATAGTGCATCACTTGTATTTTCTGAATTTTAATTTCTCTCTTTTTTTTGTGTGTGTGGGTTTTTTGTTGTTTTTGTTGTTGTTGTTTGGTTTTTTGTTTTTTTGTTGGGAGTTTTTGTTTGCTTGTTTGTTTCCTATTATTACCATCAGTATTGTTGGTATTATTTCTATTATCATTATATTTTACTTAATTTCAATTTTTAAACTGTTCTTAACCTTCTTCCGATTCTCTTCCCCATCCCACCTGGGGGGGGGGGGGGGGGGGTGGCAGGGAAATTAGCAAGTGAAGTGGCTGCATGGTACTTACTTAGTTGCTGGGTGGGTTTAAACCACGACAGTCACAAGTACAAAATGTAGGTTATGAAACAGTGTAAGAGGATGGGAGTGACACGACTGGCAGGCACCAGTCCTGGGCCCCTGGATTATTCCAAATGTTAGACCTGGGCTCCAAAGAAACCCTTTCTGAGGCAAAGGAGAAACTTGGGGAAAGTCAGTCCAAGAGAGTGTTCTGTTTTGCACATGCACATCTGGGTGGTGTGCCAATGCACTCTGCCAGGGGGGGTGGAGCAGAGGACAGACAGCTCCTGAGTGAATGAGGATATTTCTCCAGAATGGTCTGGAGGGATGAAGCCTTTTTTCCAGTACAAGTGGCAAGCCACTGCAGAGAGCTGCTTGGGCATGCTCTGAAGCCATTGTTAGCCTGGCACTCACAAAGCTGCCCCTGTTATGCTGCAGGAGCCTTTAAAGCTTTCTGGTTTCACCAAGTCCTTAGTTCTGCCCTGTTCAGCACTGGCAGAGCATCTGTAGAGCTTCCTGCCTGCCTAACAATCCTGATTGACAACCTGGGTGAACTGGTTGTTAAAGGTGCACTTCAGTACAGCTCAGCAGCTACCTGGGACTCAACAGTCATTATCAGCTGAGGAAAGAAGGTCTCCCATTTAGGTTTGCCCTCTCCCCGCAAGATGGGATTGCTTGACACTGTGACCTTGCTGGAATTTGAACGTTTGAGCTGGAGATCTGGAGGGAGGGAGGTGTCTGCAGCCCGGCATTCACACAAAGAGCATTGGGGGTTTCAGACGTGCTGGTAAAGGAACTCTGCAGCGTAGCTGAGACCTTTCTTTGAAGCTCCAGTTGTGACCCAGGGACTGTAGGGTTACCCACCAAATCCCTGGTCTGCTGGCCATAGTGATGGTAGAAGGGGATTAGGAAACTGTCTGATTTTACAAGGGCTGTTATGAAATCTGAAAGGCACAGCTCCCGAGGTGAGCTCCCAAGGCCACCAGTACACAGATGCATCAGGGCCAGCTTCTGCAGCTGAAATTTACCAGTATCTTCCACCTCTGAACAGCTCTTGGACCCTTCTGTGTGTGCTCTCACTGGCTAACATGCTTTATCCTCTGTCTCACCCCTTTTCTTCTCTCTCTGAAAGCCTCATACCATATGTACCAAAATGGAATTAAGAGATTAAAAATAATGACTCCAGTCATTGGTGGCTCTGGCTAGATGTGGGATGCTAAATTGCAGCTCTTAGGGTTGTCAGAGAGGAAATACAACATTTATTATTTACTTTTTTTCTGGAAAATTATTAAATTCTCCTGCAAGCTGGTTATTTTCCTCAGTGTTCAGCTCTAACCCATTTACCTCCTTGCCAGAGGGTAATCACACCCCAGTGCCACCTCCTGAACAGAGTCGGGACTGCTGCTGCGTGTGTCACTGTCAGTTAGTGCCAGATGCGGGGGGGAGAGTCTCCTACCCCCTGGCACGGCTGACGCACTCCAGCCTCTTCATTATCACCACAGTGAACTTCCCCGGAGCTGCTGCCAGCAAGGCAGCGTCAGGCAACATCCCTGCTTGGGTTTCAGCCTCTCTGTTCCCAACCAAAGGGAGCAGGACTTCCTTGCGCTCAGATGAAACTTCTTTGTGCTCTGAGCTCCATCCCTTTGACAGTATATTTAGTACAACACCTAAGCCTCTCTCTCTGCAAAATGGTGGTGCTGGCTGTGCATGGCTGCTAGTTGTAGAAAACAGCTCCTTCTTTTTCTGTCTTTAATTGCTACCTTGGAAAGACCCCTTGCCAACACAGGCCTTGCAGTGTGCCAGACAGATGGTGAGGAGCCAGTCCATTGCCACCTCTTGAGAGAGAAATGATGCAGAATGATTCGGCTGGCACAGGCACGCATGGGTCAGCGTGAGAGACCTGCAGTAAAACCTTCACACGCAGCACCAGGCACCAGGCTCCCTTCACTCCCATCCCCTCAGTGTTTGACAGTTAGTGGAAGGGAAGATGAGGTCTGGGAAAAGCTGCAGGGGTGAAAGTGCAACCCCGTGCACATAGCCAAACCCCCTCCCTGCCACATGCCTCTAGTCCTGGAGCTCTGAGCTGATGACACCGGTTGTGGATTTGTCCTGCATTGGCTTACAGTGCTGTTGAGAACGAAGCTGAAGAGCGGATGGGAGGACAGCATAGCTTCTGATCCCACCATCAGAATTCAGATTTGGAGGCCATGGGTGCTGGGTGGCCTTTGCTCTGTCTTATGTCAGAAGAGTTGCAGAACTGTGCATCTTCTGTGGACTCCAGCACCCCTGCGTCTAGCTTTGGCCTGTTTCAACTGGTACCACCAAGCTTCCAACCCTAAGAGGAGAGCTGTTCACCATCTCAACTTCTTCATGGCACAAAGGGGCCAATTGTGTGGCTGGATTTGGTGGAGGTGTGGCATACATTGGGCTACGGCAGAGTGGGAACAAGCTGTTGAAGGGGTCACTCACTGAGCATTCCCAGTGCTCGGTGTTTGCCTTTGGCAGGGCCAGCTCCTGGAGCATATGGCCGGAAGAGGACTGGAGTAAGCTGAGCCTGGGGTGGGGATGTGGCCCAGTCCTGCTTCAGCAGGGAGCAAACTCTCTCTCTGCTCTGCAGCCTTATGGCCATTTACTCTGTGGCCAACTACAAAATAAGCTGTTACCACCCACCTCACTGATGATGCACATCCCTGACATATGATTTGAGAGCTGACTGCCCCTGCAGGATGTAAGCCAAGGAGCAAGGCTGGCAGAGGCAGACACTTCAGCTCCCCTCTGAGCCAAGCCAGGCAATCTCCTTCCAGTTGCAATACACAGACTTCAGTCCCAGGCAGAAGCTCTCATCTGTGCCTTTCCAAAGGCAGCCCTTTGCAGGGGAGTGCATTAAGTTCAGGGGTTGGTCACTGGACTGGTAGCAATGCCTGACTGTACCACCACAAGTTGTCTGTTGTACTTCAGCCAGGTTTCAAAGTCCTCCCTACCTGCCAAAAACACCGGTAACTCCTGGTTAGCCTGCATATTAAAGAGGGACCCAGCAACTGAACTCCCTTCTTGCCCTGAAAAAGGATGGGCCAAGGCTTGACAGGTGACCCTGCTATTGCAGGGTATGTTTGACAATCACGCAGGGTGCTGAGGGCTTGACAGAGATGCATCTTCATAGGGACACTGAGTTTGGGCTGAATCCAGGCTGAACATTTTCAGTTCCTCTGAATCCTTTATACCTGCAGGAGGTTGAAGTCTGCATTTATTCTTCTGCCAGTCCCACTGAGATTTCAAGGGCATGTATCTCACAGCTAAAGGTGGCCTATATGCTTCGGTGCCAGGAGAGACTGTCTCTCCCCAGCCTGTTTATTCATTTGATTTCTGATCTGCAGGAGGGGCTACAGACCATGTCCCCAGGTCTTGTTAAAGAAAGTAATTTCTGCTCTTGGTTTTTTACAGGGCAGCTCTCTCAGCAGTGTAAATCTGAGTGGGGAGGTTTTATGCTGGATGACAGAGAGGCTTAGGATATTTATACCGTAGTTTATACAAAGCTGTTTGACACAGTGAATGGATTTGGGGAAGTTATTTCTACTTTTTTTTTTTTCTTCTGGGAAAGAAGCATTGACGTTTACCTTGGAACACAGCCTGAATGTGTCATCACCTAAAGACAGGGTGTCCTGACCACAGCAACTTGTGTTCTTTGTAGCATGTTTTGTGGGATGTGCCTACCTAGTGCTGTGATCCCGTCAGATCTCACAAAGTGGCACAGAGCCAGCTCATGGGAGGCTTCCAAAGGAAAGCCTGGCTCTCTGAGACAGTTCTCTTGGTAGTAGGATGCCTTGGCTGAGGATGCTGCCTGACCTCTATTTGAGGTAGCAACTGAATGTCCTGCTTGTAATGGGCACCACAGACCTACTGTCATGGGGATGTTATATTTGGTGTCTTGCACCCAGGCCATCCTGCCTCCCTCAGGTCTCTGTGCTTTCCTGGTGAAATGCAGGATTCCTCCTCATTGCCTCCTTCAGCAGTGCTGTCAGGAAACATGGGGCCATGCACTGTTGAACAGCTGCCATGCTCCACCCCAGAGCATGGGCAACCTGTGGACCAGGTAAAAGCACTTATAGATGCTCTTTGAGATGTCCAAAACCGCCACCTATAATGTAAACCAGCGACATATCCCAAGTAACTAATCTCTTCTCTTTTTCATTCCTCCTTCCCCTTGTCCCCTCTCCTCTCTCTGTTGCCTCCCCTTGCAGTGGCAGGCCATCTCTCTGACAGTCATTGAGAAGGTTCAGATTGCAGCAGCCATCCTGGGTTCCCTCTTCCTCATCGCCAGTATCTCGTGGCTCATCTGGTCGACCTTCAGTCCTTCAGCCAAATGGCAGCGCCAGGACCTTCTCTTCCAGATCTGTTATGGAATGTACGGCTTCATGGACATTGTCTGTATAGGTGGGTGATCGTATCTCATGGCACGGCCGAGGTCGCCCACCTGCTCACCCATGGAGAGGAGCGGGAGATGGTGTAGAGTCAGCCTGTGCAACTCAGCTCATATTGAGCCTCCCCAGCTTTTCCTCCTGTTTGCTTCTGTGGCACCTTTTTTACAGTGCACTCTGCTCATCTGGGGAGCCCTGGAGTGTTTCCTTGGCTGGGCAGGCAGAGGGATCTGCAGCAACCCTAGAGAGACACAAATCTCTCTTCAGAGCAAGAAGAGGGTGGGGAGGTCTGGGGGAGACTGAGGAGTGTAAGGCTTTTGAGAAACTCCTTCTTTCCTAGAATAGCCAGTCAGAGCTGGTTGGGTATGGCAGGGTCTCTCCACATGCAACTCCTTGTCTCTCTGCCAGGAAGGGGTGGCTGCCCCTTCTTTGGCCCACCCTGGAGCTGCAAGACCCAACCAGCCCAGGTCATGGCCCAGCCTGGGGTCATCATCAGGTTGCTGCTACAGAGCAGATCTGAGGGCAAAGCTGCCCCACAGTGGGCAAGCCCAGACAGCAAAGGAGATGGTGGCACTGGTCCCCAGCAGGGTCTCACTGCGAGCTTGAGCTGTATTCCCAGTGCAGGTCTGCAGGATGAGGGATCATAGCTGACAATACCTACGGGCAGAGGCACTCACCAGCCAGGCTGCTGAAAGACTGATGGTTACCATAACAGTTCGGTGATCACCAGCTACCTCCAAACATGCTCCTGAGCAGTGTCCACCCAAGCACAGGCCACCAGATAATGTCTGTTCAAGTGGCCCTGCCAGGAAGCAAAGAGGGTCCCAGAGACCTCTTCATGTCTGGGTTCTTCCTTCATTCATATAAAGGCAGAAGGAGCCTCCCAGAAATTTGGTGGGACAAAGCAGTCTTCTTGATTTGGTGTATATATGTTTGTGTGCCACTCCAGAGGGAAGGAGCACAGCCCCCAGTTCAGCCCTCAGGAGGAGCAGGGCTATATCACAGAGCAGCAGTTGGTGGAATTGGGATAGAGAAGTAAACCAACCCTAGCAACAGAGACAGAAGTCTGGATTGCACACCATAATATCTGCATTCAAATGGATCATCTGGGTTCAAATGCTATCATTATCGTTCCAGCACAGGACTTGGGCCTGCTGAAACCCAGGCCAGTTTCTCCCACTGTTACCACCACTGTACTGACAATGAGATTTGAGCATGACCTGTAGAGATTACCCTGCTCCTTCATGAGATGCTGGTGGAGCTACCATATATCTTCAGGAACAAAGGGTGGCAAAGGGGATGAAAGAGAAATGGGAATCACCCACATGTTGGCACAATAGCCACTGGTGACATCCTCTTGCTGATGGAATTAAGAGTGGAAAAAATTAAGATGCATGTTGTGTGTGCTTATGTTGCCTTGTTGGCAGAGGACAGAACTGGAGAGCCATGGGCTGGGTGGACATCAGTACCATGACTAAATGGCTTTGATACAGCTTCAAGAGCTAAGGGGAGCTGATTAGCTCATCTGTCAATAGGAGCTAAATCCTCCCACATGGCAGAGAACAAACCACACTAGCCATGAACTGCAGGGGAGCTGGGCAGACAGATTCAGATTGGAGATTCCTTATTTCTTTCTTACTAATTTTTTAAGGGTCTGGCCTTTATTTCTCTTTTCCACCTTCTCTGAGGGGAAAAAAAAAGCCCCTTTGCATCTCCACTGATGTCACCATTAAGCTTAACGCCCTAACCTGGGAGCTATGACATGACTTTTCCAGCCAAAGAGCAAGTCTGCCAGAAACTCAGTGGGACAAAGCAGTCCTCTTGATTTGGTGTATATATGTTTGTGTGCCACTCCATGGGGAAGGAGCACAGCCCCCAGTTCAACCCTCAGGAGGAGCAGGGCTGTGTTACAGCCATTCTGTTCCCAGGAACACTACAGAGCCATGGCTGGGACAGCCCCTTGTCTCATGGTCCTCCCTGCTGGGTTGCTGGCTTTTTCACAAACTCAAAAGCAAGTGGGAAGCATTACAGATGCTGTGAGTTACCATGTCTGTCTATGGCTTCTCTTGCTCGGCACCTCAGAGACTACCCAGAGGTGACTCCACTAGTGCCATGTGCAGCATGCCTGCCTGTGCTGCCAGGCAGCCCTGCCATGCTTGGTCAGGAGAGGTGATGTTCTGGACCATGTGAGCCTTCATATACATTTCCCTAGAAAAGCTCCCATGTGCATGCAGCCAGCCCTAGTGTAAAACTTGCTGGTATTGTCCACCAGTACTTTTTGCAGTCCCAGCTGCTGCTGCGCCGGGGTCTGCAATGGAGGGGAAAAGGAGCTCTGAGCCATGGTAGCTGAGATCTGCTGTTCTCCTCCTCCTCCTCTCTCTGCCCAGGTTGAACCAAATGACAAATGAGGTCTCCCTGGGGAGCTGTGACTCCCTGGTTAATGGAGTCAGGTCTTTTCCTCTGAGTGACTTCTCTGCTCCCCCACTGATTTCAGGGGGCTACACTAGTGCTAGCCAAAGGTTGGTCTATCCTGTGGAGAGGCCAGGCCGGATTAGACCAGCAGAAGGGGCTGATCAAAGGGAACTCTGCAACTGGGTTTAATTCCTTGTTCATTTTAGCTATGCTCAGCTGTGATGGATGCAGCAATGCCAGCTCCCTAGGAGACTCACAGTATGTTCCTCACTGTGGAACAGCTATTCTCCCCCTCTTTCTCCTTCTCCCTAACCTTGCAGCCTCACATAGGGGTTTTGGTCACAGCCAGGCAAAGCCAGCAGCAGAGATTCAGAGTTCTTCTCCTGACTGCCAGCATGGCCTGAAGGCTCTTATTACTCCTCCCTGGGCTTTAGTCCCACTTCTGGAAGTTCAGGATACAACCTCTCACAGATAATCGCAGTGACAACAGTTCTTGAACTACCAGGGTGCTGTCTGTGCATTTTGGTGACTCCTCCTCTGCAGTCCAGCCCTTTTCCCCTTTTGCTTTCCAGCCTGTGGGTGGGTAGGAAAGATTAAGGGACTAAGAAATGCTCAGTGATGGGGAAAGAGCAGGACATAAAGTGAACTCAGTTCTACTACACTTGTTTTTTTCGGCTAGCGTAACACACACACTGTGCATTGCTTGGTAACAGGCTGTACAGCCTTAGCTAGCAGAATGTTATACTGTAGGTCTAGACTAATTGTATGAATTCCTATTGTTCCTTTCCCCAGTTTGACCCCAAGTTTTGCTTTCACTGGCAGAGGAGCAGAGGTTTGAAAGACAAGGTATTTACTAAGGAGCAGATGTGCTGAAGCAGAGTTCCTCCGTAGTTCCGGCCAGTTCACACTTTGGTTGGCCTTGGATGTCTCATGTCCAATGAGTTGCCAGCAGTATTTGTCCAGGAGGCCAGTTTACATACCCTTGCATTTGGAGGTGTTTGGTAGGATACCTCCTCTGGCACTGTAGAGTTTCACAGCTGTAGATGACACCAAATCTGCAAAGATCCTAACTACCATCAGGCAGGGAGTACACACCTAGTCAGAAACTGCCCAGCTGTTTTGTGTGATCTCCTTTCTACCAAGTCGTTAAGGGAATTAGGTAGTAATTTGCCAAGACAGAGGTATCTGTGGCAATTTGTGTAGGCAATCACATTGCAGCTCTATGCTTTCCATTGTAGAGGCAAAGGTGAGGACATGGATGCTCACTTGCCTTTATAGCTCCGTAAGCACAGATCATTTGGTGGTTGTTATCTTCACTTGAGCTATACTTGATCTGAAATGGTCACATTATCTCCAAGCTGAGTTCGCAAAATATGGCTGTTAACTCCAACTATTGATCCATGCATCAAAATCCAGGGGTCTTGGGTTTGACCCTCAGCCACTCACATTCAGTAGTACACTAGTTTTCTTTGAACTTTGCTGCATCCTAGCATGCTTTGTGAAAACAGTTACAAGGGACAGACACCATTTGCTACTCTTTCTGCCACCATGGAAACAAAACCACAATCAAAGTAAGAGGAATCTACTCCTCATGACCAGTAGGACAGATGGTATGGCCCCCAAGTACTAGAAACTACGTCCATCTGGGCAAAATGTGCAAGATGGCCTTTCAACATTGTTCTCCCCCTCACTTTCAGACATCTAATAGGAGGGCAAGAAGCACTGGAAAGGGTTGCTTGGGATTCATGGGAGTCTCCAATACTGGAATTTCTGTTAAGGATCTGTTAGAAAACATATGTCAAGAACAGGTTGCAGAGAGATGATCCCAGTTTGTGAAGGAGGAACAAGACTAAATGCTTCCTGATATTCAGCCAGCCCCAACTTCCTTGATTTTGATCTCTCGTGTCTACTGTCTCTGGTCATGGCTGTAGGAGATACGAGAGCTGGACTGAACTAGAAACTGGTAATAGTGCCAGCATAGGTATTGCTCTACTGTGAAAGTATCTATAACACAGACATTTGAGATCAGCAACCAGGAAGTGAATAAAAAGTGAGATGGGGACTGTTCATTTGATTAACTACTCTCTCCATGGGTCCATGAGAGGTAAATCCAGAAAGCTGGCATAGAGAGGGATTAGCAGAAATGCAGTTATCAAAATACAGAGATAAATGTAGTGAGCCTTCATAGGACTGATTTACTGAGTAGTGAGAGTGTCTGCTTAGAGCTGGGCTGTAATCCTGAGACATACCTGCCTGTTAATTAAATGACAGTTCTTGGAGGGGAAAGGAGAAATTTGCCTCTCTCTCTGTCAAAGTGCAATTAGAAAAGTCATAGTTTGTAAATTAAGGTGTCATGTGGGGTCAGGAGGACAGGAAACCATCTCCTTTAAGCAAGGAGGAACTCTGCCAGATAATGAGAGCATGTCACAGTCTAGGCTCAGGCATTACCAGATTGGCTCTAAGGGGGAAGTGCATCTCAGGAAGGCCATTAGCAGGCTGTGTGCACAGGGCCATCATTGTGCCAACCTGCTCGTGCTCACACGGGGGTATCCCTGTGGTTGGTATGCTGTGTGGCTTACTCCCAGTGATGCAAAAGCAGTCTGA